ACCATATTGTTGGAAACAGAGCAAGTCCTCACAAGTGGAAACGATACTGAGGGGAGCAGTGTGACCAGGTTACCGGGTCCCTTGAACAGGCCACTTCTCTCCCTGGGCCTCAGCTTCCTCAAATGAGATAGTTGAGTTAATTCATCCCCAAGTCTCAGAGAACTGCTCCTTAAAAAAAAAAAAAAAAAAAAAAAAAAAAAAAAGAGAAGGACTTAATTTGGGTCCATCCCTGTTTCAATTCTGCTTATTGTCGCCCGGATCAGGACACATTTCCTCTCTCCTTGTACAAACCTGTCAAACCCACGCATAGTATGATGGCAGTTTTCTTTTCCTTTTAATCGGTTAAGACGAATGATGCCTCTTTCCGCCTCGGCTTCCCCCTAATCGTCCCAAGTTTGCTGGGAGACAAATGGCCCTCTCACCCAGCAGCCGCCTTCCTCCCTCTGCGCGCGTTTATCTTCGCCCTTGATTTATGACGGGAATGGGGGGCATCCATCACCACGCGGCCCCTCGGTCACCGTCCACCACCAGCCAGCGACCTCCCACACATCCCGTCTCCGCCGCCTCCCGCCCCTCCCAGCCTTTCTCCACACCAGGTCCGCACGGCCCTGCTGAACACGGAGCCACCCCCCTGGTGGAAGCTGCCCCGAAGCTGGGCTGTGGCTGGAGGGGCCTGGAGCTCACATCCCCGCCGGGGCTGGTGAGGTCCAGGTGCCCCCTGGGCCCGCCCTCTCCCCGGCAGAGCCTGGACCCTGGTCTTTGCGTCTCAGCATCCAGGCCACGGGAGCTCTGCTCTGCGGTCAAAGGCTTTTTTATCGGTTTATCTGTTTCCCACGCTGCACAGCTGGAGCATCTGGCAATTGTCTGGGGTGGGGGAGGAGGAGGGGGACCACCAGATGTTTGAAACTCCTCCCACCCTTCCCCGTACCTGCCTCTTATTTTGTCTCTTCGGCCCAGTGAGCGGGCATCCTTGTCCGAAGCAGCAGCACTGACTGGCCTAAGACACGAAGGGATTTGTCCAAGGCCGCCAGCCCGAGCAGGGACTGGAACCCCGGGTGCTGGCCCCTTTGCCACTGTTGACACTCCCCCCTCCCCACACCCCCGCCCCATAGCTTCCCTGACCCGTAGAGATGGGCGGGGGAAGGAACGCACATGTATCTGTTGAGGGTTCATTTACGCAGCAACATCTCCCACACTGCCGTGTGCCCAGTGCTGTTCTAGAACAGGGCGCCCGGTTCGGCGCACAGTAGACACAGCCTCCGCTCCACGGGGTAAACCCTGCCCAGCACACACAACTACTCCAAGCTCTTTCTCCCATGAGGCCTCACTGCAGTCTTGGGGGGGCAGCCTCTCCCCATCTTAGACTAGGTGGGGGGATAAATAAGGACTCGTCAGTAAGGGTGGCATCCAGGTTGGGCCGACCCAGACCCGGGCTTTCCGCAGTTCACGGGGCTCTTCCAGCCTCAGCAACGGGGGTGTGCGTGCGTGCGTGCGTGCGTGCGTGTGTGTGCGCGCGCGCGCGTGTGTGGACGGTGCTGACATCATCTCCATCTTATTTGAGCAAACGGTGGGCTTTGAGGCCCAGAGGGATCCACTGGCCTCGCCTGCAGCTGGTGAGCTGCCCGAGGGACCCGCTCTGGACTCCATGACCTACCCCACGCTCTCCTGCCCCCAACGGTGTGACAGTGCACTGCGGACTGTCCCTTCACTGTCACTGAACACAGCGTGACCTCAGCTGGGAAAGGTCTGGCTGCAGGGGATACGGTCACAGCATCGGGAACGAACACTTCTTCACTGTGAGATTCCACTGTTTTTGTTCACTTTTTGCATTTCCCCAGTGTACTCGCATAGGCATGTATTAATATTCAGAAGCAGGAAATGGTTGTGGGAAGTGCCCCTTAGCGCCTACGGTGCCGCTGTGGTTCGCACTGGGCGCATCGTAAAGGCCATTACATTATTCCAGGTCTCCAGGCGCCTGACACGGCTACCCCACAGGTGCTCCGCCGCGTCCTCACGGTGAGAGCGGTGTCCCGCGAGGCACGCAGCGGGCTGCCCAAGGCGGCCACCTCTTCTCTGAGGCTTCCAGCCCGACAGGGCCCGCGGTATCTGCATGGCCTTGTTTCTGTTCATTTACCCTCCACAAGCCGCCGAGTTTCCCGGGCTCCCATTTTAGATCCTCACACCTAACGTTGGGGTTTTGCTGGGGCTGCACATTGGTGTTGATATCCCGGCAGGCATAGGTGTAGCCTGGGGCTGTGTGGTGTCTTTTCCAGACAATTCCATGGAGTGTTGGGGGGTCATAGTAAAGCCCTTCACCCCAGCTGTGCCATCTTGCTCCATTGACTTCACGGGGCCACTGTGACCCCTGCCACGGCCCCCAGCTGGGAAAGCGGGGTGTCCGGATCTCACCCCGGCACCTCCCACCCACAGCCCGTCCTCGGGTTTATGACAATCTTAATAAAACGCCAGTGGTCCCGCCACTTGATGTGCGTGGGGAGGTGCTTGGGGCTGAGAATTTTATTTTTTTAAATATATTTTTGTTGATTTCAAGGAGGAAGGGAGAGGAAGAGAGAGAGAGAAACATCAGTGATGAGAGAGAATCACGGATCGGCTGCCTCCTGCACGCCCCCCACTGGGGATCAAGCCCACAACCCGGGCATGTGCCCTGACCAGGAATCGAACCGTGACCTCCTGGTTCATAGGTCGACGCTCAACCACTGAGTCACGCCAGCAGGGCAGGGGCTGAGACCTTTAAAAACCTTCCATGAAGCAGGGCCTCCCTGTGTCCTCGGGCCCAGCTGCGGCAGGAAGGAGTGAGCAGAGGGTTCTCTTGGTCAATGCGCTCTGCTCGTGGGCCTGGCGACCCACCACGTCTTCCGCAACCTCCCTCCAGCGAGTATATGAGGGTCAGCTCGGCACACGGGTGCCCCAGGGGCCTCGGAGGTCCGAGTCACTCCCATGGAGGCTCCCAAAAGTGCCTGCATCCAATCTGTAACTTAACACTCCCCTGAGTCCTGGGTAGGGGGCACCACCCCACGATGCCAGCAGGATCTGTCCCTCTGGGCGCCGATAAAATCAGGGCTGCTGCATGCAAATCCCGGAAAGTATGAGTGTGAGCTCTCAGCCTAGCCCCCAGGCACACGCCAGCCACCTGACCTGCACTGGACCCTCATAATTGTTGCATGAGATGTGGTGGAGCCAGATGTCGCCATCCAGGCACCTCTCCAGGCACCCACCTCTGTGCACCCCTAGGGCCCTGTTAACACTCTATTACCTTGTGGTCTTGCCTCTCTCTGTCCTGCAGGTCTGTGATCACCGGGGCAATGTTTCACCTTTCTAACCCAGAGCCGATGGTCAGTGAGCATCAGACAGTGAGCGAATGAGTGAGTGAGTGAGTGATTGAATGAGTGAGTGAAGGAGTGAGCAAGCGAGTGAGTGAGTGAGTGAGTGAGTGAATGAGTGAGGGAATGAGTGAATGAGTGAGTGATTGAGTGAGTGAGTGAAGGAGTGAATGAGTGAGTGAAGGAGTGAGTGAGTGAGTGAGTGAATGAGTGAATGAACGAGTGAAGGAGTGAGCAAGCGAGTGAGTGAGTGAGTGAATGAGTGAGGGAATGAGTGAATGAGTGAGTGAGTGAGTGAGTGAGTGAGTGAATGAGTGAGGGAATGAGTGGATGAGTGAGTGAGTGAGTGAATGAGTGAGGGAATGAGTGGATGAGTGAGTGAGTGAATGAGTGAGTGAATGAGTGAGTGAGTGAAGGAGTGGACAGAGCCTGGAACAAGACAGCCTGGCACTCCGGTCCCCCCAAGGGGACAGAGCTACCCTGCAAGCCAGCACTTGGGCAATAACCTTCATGACACAAGAAATACAAATACGAAGCTGAGGAAAGATGTCACTTTATCTGTAAGATGAAATGTGTGGGCCTAGTAATGATGGTGCAGAGAAGACGCCTGTATGAAGTGGACTGAGACAGATGGCGTGTAATAAGCACCAGTCCTCCCAACAAAGAATTCCAAAAAAGCAGAGTCTGGAGCTGCCTGCCCTCCCTCCTTCCCCTCTCCCCCTCCTCCATCCCTTCCTGCCAATGTCCTCACTCCCATCCCACCTTCCTGCTGCCCCAGACCCCCTGCGGTAAGGAGTGGGGGCGGGGAGGGAGCCCTGGGTTGGCCCCAGCTCCCCTTCTGCTCTTCTCTGAATCATTTCCTCCCCCCGCCCGAAAAAGCAAACATGAAAAGGAGAGTAATATATTCTCATCCAACAGAATTTGTACTTGAGACAACCAGTTCCAGTAAAACCTGTGCTTGGAAACACCATTAAGAGAAAATTGAGCAACTAACTCATGCATTTGTTCAACAAACACTTATTGAGTCCCTAGTAGGTACCAGGCACTGTTGTAGGCACTGGGGTGCGCCCCCCCACACACACAAAACCCACAGTGCTGGAGGTGGTAGGAAGTGGTTGGGTCATGCTGATGGGAGATTCGCTCGTACACACACACACATACACACACATACACACACACATGCAAACACCTGGGGGGTGAGGAAAAGGAGAGGGATTGAGAGAGAGAGAGAGAGGGAACAGAAGCTGAGCTCATCCTCAGTTCTTCCTCTTGCCTGTGACCTTGTAGCCTGTGAAGGGCACTCATTTTGGCCCATGGAACATTGCCTGTCTGGGCCGAAGTGTCAGGAGGCACTGCATGTTCAGTTCACCCCCCTGTGTGCCACAGACCTGGCCCAGTGGCCAAATCCCCAGGAGACCGTGGTGATGGGGGAGCAGCCTGAACCCAGCCCTCAGCCTAAAGCAGAGGCTCCCCGCTGAGCCCAGCCCATCACCCCCCCACACACACACCCCCCCCACACACACACACACACCCCTGCAAGTCAGCCTGCAGACCTGAGAGTGAGAGAATGGATGTTGGAGGTCGCTGAGTTTGGGCTGGTTTGTCATGAGGTATTATTGAAGCTACAGATGATTAGCACAGAGAAGTTAAGTGACTCACCTAGGGACACACAGCTTGCAAGCAGCAGCCCCAGACTTCCTTGTCCAGGGCTCCTTCTCTCCCCTCTGGCTGGGGCTGGGGTAGCGGTCTGTTTCCTAGGAGAGGGTCAGGACACAGGGCTCAGACGATTTGGGGGTAAAAGGGAGAAATGAGTGGCCTTGCTGGGCAGCGGCCTGATCGCCTGTGAGCGGAGCCCAGCCTCCAGCCTCCTGTTGGGGCTGTTCCCAGGTCAGGCCCTCAGAAGGTCGGGCCCGAGTCAGGCTCAGCAGTGCAGGGGGCGGGGCCGGGAGGGCCACACAGAGGAGACCTGCGGCCCCTGCCCCTCCCAGCCCTGCCGGCCTCAGCTCCTGACCTGCCCCTCTGGGTCTGAGGCTCCAGAATCCTGGCTACAGTCACCAAAAAGCACCCCCTCTTGGGGGTCACAGCCCACAGGCTCTGTGTGGACTCGTAAAAGGCTCTGCTTCCTCCGAACGGGCACAGCCTGTTGGCGAGGAGGGGGCAGGGATGCCGCCCTTTGCCCTGGACCGGAGGCTCTGTTCACACACAACCCGCGCAGCCGCCCTGGAGGAGCGAGGAGCATGGCTGCCTGGCTCCTGCCCGACAGCGAGCCCCACCCTGCAGCTGCTGGGAGCCTTCTCTGCCTGCCAGGCACCCAGGACGGCACCAGCACACAGTAGGTGCGCAGCAGTCGGCTGTGTCCAGTGAATAAGCCAGCAGTGACAGCAGGGAACTGGCCGCTCAAGGAACTGGAACTTAACGCACCAGCTTCTGTCTGCAGGCAGGTGTGTGTGTGTGTGCGCGCGCGTGTGCATGAGTGAGTGTGTGCATGTGTGTATGTATGTGCATGTGTGTGTGAGTGTGCGCGCGTGTGTGCATGTGTGTGTGCCTGTGTGTATGTATGTGCGTGTGTGCGTGAGTGTGCGCGCGCGTGCGCGCGTGTGTGCATGAGTGTGTGCATGTGTGTGTGTGCCTGTGTGTATGTATGTGCATGTGTGTGTGAGTGCGCGCGCGTGTGTGCATGAGTGTGTGTCTGTGTGTGTGCCTGTGTGTATGTATGTGCATGTGTGTGTGAGTGTGCGTGCGTGCGTGTGCATGAGTGTGTGCATGTGTGTGTGCCTGTGTGTATGTATGTGCGCGTGTGTGTGAGTGTGCGCGCATGTGTGTGCATGTGTGTGTGTGCGCGTGTGCCTGTATATGTGTGTATGTGTGTGCGCGTGCGTGAGTGCGCTGGGGATTCTGATTCTGGGTTTGGGTCCAATGTGAGGCAAACACCAGGGTGGCCGTGCCCTGGAGATGGGGATGGGGGACAGAGCAGCAGCTGGAGACAGTGAGAGCCCAGCCCCCACCCCCACTTCCCCACCTCCAGCCTCGCACCTGCTTCCTGTCGCTAAATCACTCCCAGCCTCCAGGAGACAAGCTGCTCATCTTAGCAGCTCTGGCCCCGGGGAGCACTTGGCTGAGATCTATAGCAGGGGGACTGGTGTGTGTGTGTGTGCGTGTGCGTGTGCGTGTGCGTGTGCGTGTGCGTGTGTGTGTGTGTGTGTGTGTGTTGGGGAGAGAGGTGGGAGGGGTGAGGGAGGAGGAAGGGCAGAGCTCAGGGAGTAAGCCAAACGATGGGGCATCTGAGCTAGGCCGTGGGCAGGGGGACGGGGCTTTGGAGCGAGGCAGGCATGCGCCGGGCTGGAGAGCTTTCTAGTACCGGATGGAAACAGACGCCACGGATTCGTAAGATAAGCAGCTGGTGGAGCGAGCGTCAGCCCGCTGAGCTGCCAGCCTCTCCCGGAGCCCGCGGGGCCCTGGGATCCCGCCCACGGGCATCACGTCCACTCGCATCCCTGGACCGATGGGCCCATGGGCCCTCCCACCCACTGGTTCAAGAGACATTGGGTGGTGCCCGCGGTGTGCATGCCGGTGCGGCAGTGCGGCTGGGAGGCAGGAATACAGAAGAGGCGTCTCTGTCCTCAAGGACCTGCGGCCCCATCACCACCACTCAAGGGGTCCCCAGGTCGGACACCACCGTTATCATCACTTTGGCCATTTCAGCCACCACAGCCACCAGCTGTGCAGCATCCTGGCCGGTCATGCTGGGTTGTGGTCTCTTTTACCCCCGGCCCCTGTGTTCTGGGACAACGACGCCGTAAGCTTTGAGCACCGGGAATATGATGAAGAGGACGTGAACCGGTGAAGCGGGGGGAGGGGAGCAGGGGGACGCCGGCCAGCTGCCAGCACTGCTAAGCCAGCAGCATGCACGTGGGTGGGGGGGGGGGGGGGGGGGGCGCCGGCCAGCTGCCAGCACTGCTGAGCCAGCAGCACGCGTGTGGGTACAGATGCGGGCGTCTTGTCCCGGGAGCGCTCCCTCCGGCCCCTGCTCACACTCTGGGCCGCCCTCGGTGGAGAGGCGACAGGGGAAATCCATTAAAGGAAGCCTGTGCGGGGAACCCGAGGACCGTCATCAATCATGTTCCGAAGCCAGAAACCACTTATTAACGCGCGCTGTGAATTGCCGCCTGGGGCTGGCACTTTGGGCCGCCTCACGTGGCCGTGGCTTTGTGCTGTGGTTGCAATGGTGGGGGGCAGGCTCCAGCGCTCTCCTTCCTCGGCTCTGGGCCCCCGCCCTCCGAGAGGCCATCACGGGCCTGACCAGCCACATGTACATACAGCCTGGTCAGATGTGCCGGGCGGGGGTGCAGGACCTGCTCGGGTGACCAGGCAGGGTCAGGCGGGATCTGGGCACACGGAAGCTGGCCTGTTCAGCCCCCACACCGGGAGCGCCACTGTGGTGACCCGAGGCCTCTGGCGACCCGCCAGATGGGCCAGCCCGGCCACAGCGGCAGAAAACGATTTGTCAAACCGGCTGTCAGCAATCAACAACGGGGGCCTTCCCTGGGGGCCTGGCCAGGCTCTGGGAGCGGGCATCCTGAACCCAGCGAGGTAAATGCACCCCCCTCTCCCCCCCGCCACCCCCCTAACTACCACTACCGCAGTGGTCCCACCTGGGCTTTTAGGCAAGTCAGATGGGAGGTTGGCCTGGCCGGCGGCCAAGCAGCGAAGTGCTAAGTGAGCTTCTCTCCCTGCTGCCTGGTTCCCCTGCCCCGGGGAGGCGTGCTGCGTGCTGTGTGCTGTGTGCTGCGTGTGGTGAGCCAAACATCTGCTCAGCAGATCTTTTCCTGAGCACCTGCCAGAGCAGGTGAGAGGCGGGGGCCGGGCCACCCTGGTCTCCCTCCGGGTCCCCGCCTTGAGGCTCCTGGAGAGGCAAATGCACCAAGACAGAGTGGCATGAGCACAGTGTGACCAGTGAGGGAAGTCAGGGAGGGCTTTCTGGAGGAAGTGCCCACTGAGGTGGGCCCTGGAGGTGAGCGGGGGCTGACCAGGGAGTGAGGCCTTGCAGGCAGGGGTGGGGTCGGATAGGAAACGGGGGTGGGCATCTGTGTCTTTCTGTGATCACCACGTGGAAGGTGCCGGAAGGAATCCCACCATGACTCTCCCGTCCCATTTAGCGTGTATGTTTAGTTCAGGGGAAGCATTTAGAAAAGTCAGAAGGCATAGGAGCCTACAGGGCAAGTCTCCTGCCCACCCTCCTCCCAGTTCCCGCCCCAGGGGCAAACATGTGCCGATTTCCTATGAACCCTCCCGAGACGGCGAGACGGCCTATATATTCTAAGCAGGCGCACACAGGCGCACACACACGCACACACACACATATGCACACGCGCACACACACACACCCTCTCGCCCCGATGGCAGCGCACTCCACACTGCGCCCCGCACCTGCTCTAACACGTCAGCTGGATTGCACCTGAGACCATGAGATCCTCCTTCACGGAGTGAACAGTCGCATTGTCCCCATTTGCGTTGTCTCCGGTCTCGGCTGGTGCTGACATGTGCTTGCGTGGACACCTGCGCACACACGTGTGATGACGCCTGAGGGTCAGCTCCCGGGAGAGGGATCGCCGGGTCCCAGCAGAGCGGCACTCGTCTTTGAGAGTCCTGGCCACCCCCACTCCCCTCCCCACTGTGCACGTGTACAGCTTCGCTCCCACTGGCAATGCCGGGGGTCCCTGTTGCCCCCAGCCCCTCCCAACACCCACCTGATGTGTTGATTCAACTCAGCATTTCCCTTTTGAGCCCCTGCCATGGTCAGGGTGTGGTTTGAAGCCCACAGGCCAGACATCGGGGTGGGGGGGCGGGGTGAGCGAGTAAGTGTTTGCTCCCTGACCCCAGTGAGGGACCGTCTGTGTTTCAGCCCGCAGGTGCGTGGGCCCGCATGGCCTCAGTGCAGGGGCGCTGGGATCTGCCCGCCGGGGGAGAAGGCTGAGGAAGCCCTGGGCAGTTCGGAGGCCAAGGAAGCAGAGAGGGGGCATTTGGGCCGAGCCACAGAGGGCGAAGCGGGGAAGCGGGCGGGCATGGCCAGGGGGGCCCCTCAGGAGGGGACAGGCTCTGGGCTGTGCTGTGGGCGGGCACTGTGCCCGG